TGTGTCGGTGAATGATGCAGCTTTGGCTGCGCGACGATTGCTCTATCGGCTGCATCCAATCAGGTGAGGCGGGAGTATCGATTACCTTTGAGCGTACGCGCGTGTGAAGCGGTGAGTGGGCCGATAACGCGTGTAGTAGAAAATTAGGCATGGCTGTAAGCCCTGGCACAGCGAAAGCTGAATGAGTCAGCGCAGGAGGTTCCCACAGGTCTTCCCTATTATCTTAAGCCACTGCGATAAGCCCTCCTGATATACACAGAATGCTCTGTTTATGATTGACATGCGCGGCGACACGTTTGGCCGCGGTGGATACAAAACAAGTCTACTAACTCACCGCGATGTCTAGGGTAGTCTTTGTTCTTCGCAAACCTCCCGTGTGTGCGCAGTTTCTGACTCTTTAACTACGTTATTCCAATCGCGTATGGCGCCTCGCATTGTCCTGTGGTGGCTAACTGCGCGCACATGACCTCTCGCGAGGGCTCATCGCTGCCAACGAGTGCACATGCGCCGGCCGCCCACGCCCATCTCAATGTCGAGCCCCTACCGCGAGTTTTAGCCCCCGTGAGAACTCGAGGCAATCAGAGCGCACCATTTCCTGACTGCCTTAGGCTTCCGGTAATCCCCTTTGCTCTCGTCACCTCAGACACGGCGCTGTGATCGGCGGTTGCCCGCTAGTCTGACAGTCGAGCTACCACTCTAGCCTCTCATTAATTCTCTTCTCCTAAGGGAACCGGGCCTGAAGATCGCAGTTGCCAAGGTTTAACTTACTCAACCCCCTGCGATAGTCCCACCACTCCCCCTCCCGCGTTTAACTTTGCTGAAGATCTATGGTAAACAAGAAAGGCAGTTGATGTGACTAAGACTACTTTATTGGAATCTAGTTTACTCAAAAATATGCACACAAAAGCATTGGGACTTTAAGTAGGGGTAGAGGTTCATTCAGAAGTCTGTACACTGAAACCTGGGGACTTTAGGGTAGGGGTTCACTCAAAACTCTGTACATTGAAACCTGGGGACTTAAGGGTAGGGGTTCACTCAAAACTCTGTACACTGAAACCTGGGGACTTCAATTAAGGCTAGGGGCTCGCTCAAATCTGTGTACACCAAAACTAAGGCCTCGCTCAAAACTGCGTTCACTTAAATCTGAGGACCTTGGGCAAAGGTGGGGGGAGGGAGCAGGGAGATACACCCGGCGATGTATCATCCCAGCATTCCCCGGGACCCTGGCTTCCGTTCAGCTTCCAGCTCATTCGTCCTGGGGACGAACGCAGCTGCACAACCGCTGCCAAATCCTCCGCATTAAGCGT